GAGCTGATAGTACAGCAACATTTGATGCGGTACAAGAGTACATACCGATACGATCCTGTGTTTGCACTTGGTTTTGTTACTGTGTATGATCAGCTCATGGAGGGCTACCCCAGTGATGAGGATCGAGAAACTATTTTTAAAGCTTATATTAAGGCTCTAAATGAGGACCCTGATCAATATAGGCATGTCTTAAACATCCCTTCAAATTTTTTTCCCTCTTTCTGTTTGCCTTGCTTGTTTTCGCAGATGGATGTGAATCCAATTTTGGACTAGTTTCATTTTAGTAGTCTTTATTGTGTAAATAGGAAAATTTATATATCTGATGTGATACTATTTATTCACGATGTCTGATAAATAGAACTTTTCAAAGAGTCGGTGCATCATATAAATTTTGGTTATGTTCCCCGCATCATACTGCTAATTGTGGAAAACAGAGATGATAATATAGCATGCGTGTAACGTCATTGTTATATTGGATGTGGCCTTCTTCTTGATCTTGAATGGTTAGAATTAAGCTCTCATGGAGTAAATTTTTTTTTTTTCTTTTTTCCAACTGTATGCATTGTAGGGCTGATGCACAGAAGTTAGAAGAGTGGGCACGTTCTCAGACTGCCAGTACCTTAGTCGATTTTGCATCAAGGGATGGAGAAGTTGAAGCAACTTTAAAGGACATTGCAGAAAGAGCAGGGAGCAAAGGAAATTTTAGCTACAGCCGATTCTTTGCTGTCGGTCTCTTCCGGCTGCTTGAGTTAGCAAATGCAACAGAACCCACCGTCTTAGAAAAGGTAAAAGTTGTTTCTTCATTTGTGCTGTGAGACTTTTCATATTCTAGAAGCCTCATAGTACGAATGTCTATTTTGCTATTTTGTTTTATATACTCCATTGTGATTATCTACATATGGGTTATTATTAACATATTAATAGAATAGATTCACTGTTTTAATCTCATTGAGGACTGGAGTGGAGGTTTATTCGTCCATGCAGCAGCTTGTGGCATTTCATAATTTTCGTGATATAGAAACTTGGGTATATGGACAAATCAACTTGTAGCTACAGTACAAAATATTTAACAGTCGAGAATTAAGAAAACGCGAACCTCACTGGGCTACCATAAGAGGGCTCCACAGAGTAATAAATGAAGAAAATTACATTGTGAAATGAGATGTTGAACTTTGAGTTGTAATACATCATGTATAGGGATCGGAAAAATTCCTAGTTTGATAACGTGTCACCGAAACCAAAAGAAAGGAAGACATATCTGCTGCCACCATCATCTTCTTTTATTTTGGCACCAAATATGGCTTCTTTTCTACTTTTATGTACAGGCATTAACCTTTTAAAAGTCCACATGTTGACCGTATTTTTCATTATACCTTTTACATGACTTATTGTCTCCCATAACATGTCTTAAACTGCTGCAGATATGTCCATGTGAGACAAAAATTCTCAAAATGTAAAATGAAGTAAAATGATGACACGTATTGAACCATGTCGGTCTTGGACACATGTTCTGACGCCAATACTTTGCCTTGTGAGAGTGCCAGTGCTTCAGGGCATGATAACACTTTTATTGCTTCAGCCATTCTTCCTTATAATGGAAAACTATAGGTATGGAATTAAAAATCAAAGGGAGATTAGCTATCAATTAGGAATACCCAAAAAGAGTTTTCCATTTTCTGCTTGCTGTCTGCTGAAAGCAGGATGTGTGTTAGAATGAATCAGTAATAACCGTCTGGCCATCTAAATAATTATTATAAGTTAATGGATTGAAGGTCCAAAGTCTGTCATTTTTAAGTTGCCTAAAAATTAATTTGAGCAAGGGAACTGTAGAAAGAATATTTGCTAAATCTCGTAAAGAAAGCTACTGTTGAAAACAGGTTTTTACGAGTTATGTAGGTTAGCCTAGTTTAGTTTGGTTTTCATTTCTCTTTTATTTATTTTGGGATATCAAATTTAGCATTGGTCTTAAGGGCAAGAGTTACAAGACTTAGATAAATAGGATTAGATCACCAACTTACTTTAAAATGTGAATAGATGTTCTGCTTCTCTAGACATCCCATAATATCTGCAGGGGTTGCTGAATCCAACGACTACAACTCAACTTAATTCCAAGGTGTCTTATCACACACTTAGGAAGGACTGTCTTCATGGATCCTTTTTTCATACGCTGCAACATGTCATTTAATTGATAAGCAAGTCTTCTACATACCTGAGTGATTTAGGTTTTCTGAATGAGTGTGTTGATTGAATAGAGGAAATTGTTTTTGGAATACTTACTGTATCTGAGTTTTTTACATGGTAAGGATTAGAATTTCATTTCACATGATGGTGTTTTTTCTTTGCAAAATAAGATTTGAACTTGGAAACAAGAGGACCATACAGAGAAACTGAGGTAACCAGTGGAGAAAATACGTGAGGTCTCTTCATGGACCTGTTTACACTTTTTAGTTCTTCCCTGGAATCTTATGGAGTGTGACAAATAGGTTTAAGATATGAAGGGAAAGTCATCTGCGGTTGTTTGGATTGGAATATTTGATCATTTCAAACTTTTAACAGTTCAGGAATGAAGCCAAAGCTACCGGTTACTGTTGATTCTTTTAATCTAATTCAAGCCATTCTTTTAATCTAATTCAAATTATTTTTCTAGGGGTGAGATAATTTTAGATTTGAGACAATGTGTTTTCTTTAATCTTTGTTGAAGTTCAATTCTAGCCCCCAAGCCAAGGTTCTTGCCAATAATGAGAGCATGTTGGTCACCTATTTAATTTAATTGGTCTTATACATTGAACAAAATTGTTGAATTCTAGAACTTTAAGACATATTATAAAATATAAGTGGTTCTCACTTCTCATGGCCTGTCATATATGCAACACCCGAACAGCTGGCCAACCTAAAAATAAAGAAAAATGTAAATTAACTTTCCTAGGGGTAAAAGTGGATCATACTAGGTTGATTCAATGGTCCACATACCCAACACCTAGGAAGAGTAGGACTCGTATATATTTTGATTCAGTGAAGTTATGTAGCACTATTCTAAATGTAGTAATCAAGCATCTGTAAAAAATGTTTGAATGGAGTTAAAACTAATGAAGTGTTCAAAAGCCCCCACAAGCTTACTCGAAGTGTAAAGACCCTGCTTTATGTCCTTCCCTAGAAATAATATCCACACACACACACACACACACATGATCAACAGCCAATATTTTGTGTAGGTGAATGTAGACATTATGTATGCGTAGGGGGTGGTTAGTAAGCCCCTGTTTGGTTGAGATTGTTTTGAGAATAAATTTTCTGAAAAGTGATTTTTTGGAAAATGTGTGATTAAAAAGTAGGGAAAGTTATCGGTCAATGGGAAAAATTATGTTGTTGGGAGAATGAATTGTTGAAAATGAGTTCCAGAAAATGGGGGCCAAGCACGGGCTAAATAATATTGCAGCTATAAAACTAAGAAGTTGCAGAAGATGAGATATACAGTTCCCCAACTCCATTGTTAAAAGAAATGCTACCTACTATGCCAATAGCATTATTTCTTCGACCAATTTCATGAATTGAAAATTCACAGTGAAACTTGGGTCATTCTTGTTAGACCTAAATTACATAGAACTTTGGGTGTTGGTCCCCATTTCTTATCAAATTTAATGTGAACTTCCATATTCAAGTTCCCTTGCAAGGTCCATCAACGAATTTCCATACAATGCCTCACTAACTGAAAAAAAGAAGAAAGGTGCAGAGCTCTGTAGAGCCCCAGCATAAGGGTGTCTCTTATATTGAAATGATGGAAAAATGGTCCCTTTGATCAGCGTTCTTATTGCAATAATTTGAATACGGAAGAAAATCAACTGTGTATGTTAAGAGTGATCTCCCTCACTCCTTCTGTGTTACTGACAAGTATTATTCCTCCATGCATTATGAGTAAATGTTTCACTTTAATCCTTTTCCAATCGTCACTGTGTCTCTAGTTATTGAAGCTGTGAAAATTCGAATTCAGGTTGCAAATGATCCGCTTTATACTGTTGTATGCGTCCGTGTGTGTGCGTGCTCATCTTTTTTTAGTAGCAACGCTTCATAATAATAAAGAAGAGATACATATTATTCTTAACTTATTTCTTTCATGGCTTGACAGCTTTGTGCAGCACTGAATGTAAATAAGAAAAGTGTTGATCGTGATCTTGATGTCTACCGCAATCTGCTCTCTAAGCTGGTTCAAGCAAAAGAGCTGCTAAAGGAATATGTTGACAGGTGAGAATTTTTTCTCTTATTCAATAAGGTGGATTCGACAATATTCAACGCTATTCAAGAAAAAAGAGTAAATATAATACTCAACACTTTGTGGTGCTATTATTGCATTCTACTCTCCTAGAGATTGTTAATTTACAACTAAAATTATACCAATTGATGGATACAAGTGATTGTTTTCACATTCAATCGACTTTCTTCCTCATAAATGTTAAATCCTCCTTTTGCTTTCACCAGTCGTGCTTCTCTACATTACGAGCTTCATTTGCCAATAATAAATCCTCACATTAGTTTTGTGACTTTTGTTAATGTTATGGCTTTCAGGGAGAAAAAGAAAAGAGAAGAACGGACAGAATCTCAGAAAGCTAATGAAGCTGTCGCAAAATGCATGGGGGGATACCAATATGCGGGGTTATGAAGTAACCTTCATTGTTACCTTTTGTTTAAATCTCTCTCAACATATATCTCACAGTTAATTTGATCTTTTGTATAATAAGAATGGTTCAGACAGGTTATCAGAACAGAGGCTGTATTAAATGACAAATAATAATTCAGTGTCTCGTGATTTAGCCATGTTGAAATAATTTTCATTAACTATTAATTTCTATAGAATTGTTACAAATTCATCATGCCCTTAATGTTGCCCAATACAAATGCTTGTAGACAACAAATGAATTAACCTTATGATTTTGCTGAAACAAGATTATTACCAACTAATAAGCGTTGAAGTTTAGTTGTTTTAGGAATTTTAACCAATAAGAGATTTAACTGAGATGAGAAATGTCAACCTCATCTGGAACCTTGAATGTATCTGCTGCACCGAATTTTCTCCATTCTCCTCCTACGGACTCGTCTTCATTGTCGCTATCCCTTTCATCTGCGTCCTGAATGTTGTGAGACGAGGGGTCGTGAACACTTCTGGATCTGCAGTAGTAGGTAGCAAGCATCTTCACTTGGTCGAGATGAGAAATCTCTACGACAACAGTGTCATCATCCACAGGAAGTGGTTGTTTCCATGGTTCCCCATCAATCCTCATGTAGGTGTGATCAGCCGCACCCTTGTGAAACTCAAAACGTATTCTATGTGTGTGAGCAGACGAAAAACCGAAAAATATCAACAATAGCTCAGGTCATTGATTTAACTGAATCTATGTTTCTCCCAGCTTTCTACTTGATTATAACCTGTGCAAGACGAGTCCCACGTCCATTAGGAGCAAGCAGAATCAGTCCATGCCAAGCATTTTTAAAACCAACAATCTCCAGAAGGCCATCATCGACAAGGGGTGGCGTCAAGTCTCTCTGGACATCAATTCGAAGCATAGAATATATTAGAATATAATGTATCCATATTATTTCTAAGCTTTAATTCTATTGAATTCAAGGAAAAAAGAACAGATAAGAAAATATGTGTTTCAAGAGAGCACATCGCGTCTTTTGTTTATATTTGGTGTTCCCCAAGGATTTAGTCCACCGGAGAAGCTAGGTAAGTTGAGACATACAATGGACCTGATGCTGCGACGTTAGAACAAAAGACACACCGAATTAGGAATAAAATCTACAAGACACATAAAATAGGAGCATAAATGGTATGTCTTCACATTTCATTTAAGTATTCGAAATTTTTTTGCCAAGAGCTCAAAATATTTGAACTTTTTCTCTGCACAATCTAAAAGAAGATATCTGCATAGATATGTATGAAGCCTAAAACATTCACTACCAAAAGATCAGTTTGATGTTTTCGCCTATCCGTATCTTTTTTACCCTTCAAACTACTCGATATTCTGCTGAATGAACGAGTATTTAGTGCCTAGCTTTCTAGCATTAATGAGGGAATCAACATGAACTAAAAATTTGTTCGTGATTTTCGCATTCTCATATTTATGTATGCGCTACTCTATATCAGTGAAGCATTATTTTGGGCTCAAGAAATAAGTGATCTACCTGTTGGGAATACAGAGATCTTGCCAATCACCATGTCTTTTCATGATCTTGATGTTGGCAAGTTGAGCTACATTCCTGCATTACGACTAATGCTAGTTCAGGCAAAGAAAACATTAACCATGCAGTGTAATACTCCCTGTCGTTATGACGTACATTAAATGCATAATACCAAATAATGAACTATAACTGGCAGTTAAATTGATCCGATGACTTTCGAAGCGGACAGAAGAAAACTGACAGAATTTTCAGGAAATACGTTTCAATTATTTTGTAGGTTTGGGTTAAGCATTACTCACCAATTGGACAAAAACGCAAACTTACTTGGACGAAGGGTGAACAAGAGGAGCAAAGAACCATCCTTGCGTGCATCCAAGCTTTGCATAGGTACTCTTACGAGGAAATGAAATTCATGTTTACAAGAGAATATGTCCATGACATGTTCAAAGAGAGCTAGTCCAGGCTCTGTAAAACTATTGCTGAGATGATGATGATAATGATAATGACAATAACAATAACAATAACAATATAATAATAATGCTGTTTCATCTAGAAACGCAAAGCCTGAAGAAAGTATGCAATATCACACTCATCTCTGTCACTTATGACTTATCAGTATATAATACCTCTCTCTCCAATATTAGATAATTTTAGCAATAAACTGGCACCATCAGAATCTCAACTTCTCTATACATTAAACAACAATAAATTGTCTGTAGATGTCATTAATAATTTTAACAAAAACTGTTATTGTGATCCCAACTTTTAGTAAATGTTAGTCCTGCGAAACTTTCCACTACTTAATAAAGTAAATGAAAGAACATGTTCTGAATATAATGATGGAAACGTCATTTAGCACAGAGAGGAAACTTAATAGAATCTAATGCCATTGAATTTTCTCTTACTCTACAGAATAACATCTCTCTCAATTTCAAGTAGCTGATTTAACGTCGAAGTGTATCCATGAAGAACTACCCATGTCTAATTGAATAAGTGCATCAGCTTGCAGTAGCAGGATTTCTTATCTGATTGAAAACCAGTTCCACATAATTTATCATAAATTTCTCTCAACTCATTAAACTGTTTGGTTTGTGACCCAAATTCGGTTGGATTTTTTTTAGGAAAATATTATTTCCTTTATTTCGCGCGTTTTTTATTGGGAAAATATATTTCCTTTATTCCATACGTTTTTTATACTATTTCCATCGTTAAGAATATTTTTAGGGTTTTGATGTCACCTATATATAGTTGGCTCTTCTTTACAAGTTGATTTATTACAAAAGTTAGAATAATTGTGAGAAATACAATTGTTGTAATTTTTTTCCATTATAGTTGAATAAAATCTCCAATTCCTCTGCAAAATTAAACTCTTGCCTTTGTGTTCATCTTGCTGTTATGATCAATACTTTATATTGTGCCGTATAACGTCGTTCTCCCTCCAACAAGTGGTATCAGAACTTTAATTTTTTGATTTGTTCAAGATTCTTGTTTTTGATGACAATCATGAAGTAAGATATTCCGCTTTTGGATTGCATCACTAGATTCTTGTAATGGTAGGTGAAGATGCGAGTTGTACTCGCGCATATAGATTTGGATGATGTGTTGTTGACATTTGATAAGATTCCCTCAATTTGGTTGATGTAGGAGAAACAACGTAAGGATCGGAACATACTTTTACGAATTCATCTTCATCTTTCGAAATACATTTTTCAGAATGTTTTGAAAGAGAAAACGGCAGTAGTGTTATAGTTGAAGTTGGAGCAATTGTACATGACTAAAAGTCTAATTAGCAAATCGCACCTAAAACAACATTTGTATTCTCATCGTATGACAGAAGGTGGATTTTTGGAAGATAATCTCGTCGTTTTTAAAGAAATTATAGTTGATTTGAAGACTTTGGAGGTAAAGTATGATGAAGAATATTTGTCCTTAATTCTTTTGTGTTCATTGCTCGCTTAGTTTTTGTCATTTAAAAACACGATTTTATATAGTCGTGATATTCTCACCATTGAAGATGTGTACGATACTTTGTTTTCAAAGAAGAAGATGAATAATCTAGGCGGATCTGAGGCTACAAATGGAGAATCCCTTGTTGTTCAGGAAAATGGCTTGTTGAAATCTAATTTTAGTAATCACATTTGTTTTTATTGCAAGAAGAAATGACATATCAAAAAGGATTGCAACAAGTTGCAGAATAAAGATAAGTAGGCTGCAAATCAGAAGAGAAGGCAATCAGATGCTTCAGGTGAAACCGATGTCCCAAAGGACTATTTGAGCGATGGGAATCTTTTGGCTATTTTGACGGCGAATTTAAACTTGACGAGTATTAGATTATGGATTCAACTTGTGCTTTTCATATGTGTTCCAAGCAGGATTTGTTTGCAATATATGAAATAGTTTTGACAGGTGTTGTGATTATAGGAAATAACGCACATTTTGGGTAGTTGGTGTTGGTAGAGTCAGACTTAAGTTGTGGATGAGACAGTTAGAATAATTGATCAGGTTCAACATGTTCCAGATTTGAAGAAAAACCTCATCTCGTTGAGTATTCTTGATTAAAAAAAGGTACAAATTCTTTGATGGAGGTGGAGTTTTGAGAGTTTGCAAAGGTGCCCGTGTTGTGTTAGAGGAGCGAAAAAAGATCCCAGTTATACGTCTTGCAAGGTTGTGTAGAATTCGTGAAGAAAAATTCGCAAAATTTTGGTACCATGGTAGATAATCAGTTTGGTATAGTATCGTTGGGATTTAGTTTGGGGTCCATGTTAAAGAATACAACTCAGTTGAGTTCGAAGGATATGAGTAATGCTGCTTTGCCATCACCTGTGGTGCCATCATATTCAATTGCTAGGGACAGACCAGAGAAGATAAGTACGGGAATGCTGATTTTATTACAGTACTTTTTCTGTCAATTACTGATTGATAATGTAGTTATAGTACTCTCTCTCTCTCTCTCTCTCTCTCTCAATTAGAGGAATCGCATCACGTAGGCATCATCAGCATGTTACAAAATACTGATAATTCATAATTGTTTATATAGTTTGCAGTCGGTGAGATCAATTCTAGGTAAGACTTCATTCTACTTATTTAATATGTAATTGATAAATAAAAAATTTCACGCCCAACAACAATTGAGTTGCACTTACTTATTTCATACACTGTTGGAATTGCATATGGAGACAGAAGTCAAAATGGCTTAAGAGTTAACACATTCCATGATTTTTCTAGGATTCTTAACTAAATTGTAGTAGATTATCAACTGCACCACACAAGAAGGATGCATGACCTAAATTTTAATCATTTGTGCCGTTGCTTTGCAACTTGAAGAACCAAGCGACTAAACCAAAAGAATCTGTCGGAAGTTCCACCTACATGAATAGTCATTTTCATCAATATCAAAACATAACATTTGATAAAATGTATAGAACAACATGTTCAAACCTAGAGCATCTGCCAAATTTGGACCTTGGGAAGAGAGGAAGAATTTTGGTATTCTGAAGTATAAAGTACTACATTCAAGGGAAATTTGAATGTGCCAAGAAATGTAAACAAATTTTAATGTGGGAAAAGGTCATCTTTCCGTATTGAGAGCCTCTGTCGAAGATACCCGATGAAATGCATGCAGTGAATGTGGTAACTCCAGTGGGGCAATTGGATCACAAGAACCTTCTTTTGGCACTTTCATCCGCATGAGAATGTGCCTGCTGGATTATAACAAAAAAAAAATTGTACTTAGGAAAAAGAAGAGCAGTAACTTTACAGTAAATAATAAATTACAGTACTCTGAATTTACATTTCATCCAGCTTCAAGAACCATCAATGAGGAAAAGTGACTCTAATGTCCAACAACTTACCATAAACTTAATATAAAACATGTAGACTAATGACCAAAAAAAAGAACTAACCCTCTCATGCTTAAAGAAGATTTATTTGGTGGACAACAAGTGAGGTAGTATATTTAAAATTTCAATTTGAATGTCAAACCTGTTATCGTGCTATGAGGAAATCAGAAGCTTTTAAGAGTCTATCATTTGTTTATATATTTCATTCTTGATTTAATTTTTAGATAATAAGTCTAAAAGTTTGCCTAATAAGTCTTTATTTCTAAGAGAATTTCATATATATTCTGAAGATTTTTATAAGCAACATTCCATGAAGAAGCCCATGTCATAATTCGAAAAGAAACTGCCAGCTTGTATCACAATCATGAACTATCAACCTTATAACTGCCAAAACATTCTCAAGGACAACCATGAACTCTTAGGTGATGCAAATATTTTGAATAATGCTACTTGCAGTTGCTCACTGCAGCAGTCGCCCTATGTGGCACACACATGTCAAGTGTGTATTTGATGCATTAAATGTGGTAAAAAACTACCACCTTAATGCATCAAATAATTACATGGCATGTATGTGCCACATAGGGCGACTGCTGCAGTGAGCGACTGCAGGTAGCATTACTCAAATATTTTATGGTAGCTCACTCAAAAAACTAATCACATAGTATGGGGCTAAATAATCTGTAACAGTACCATCTATCTTCATGTCTTTCGCTTTCCGTACTTGATCCAAGAATGAGAGCATGGAAGTACGATCAGTTCCCGGATTTTTTCCCCAGCAATTGATGAAGTAAGACAAAGTCGATTCACGATAAAGAAAAACTATAGTGTAGAAAGTGAGAGACAACTTTCATAATTAAAAAATAAAAATAAAATAAAATAATTAGCTGCGAGTTGAGACTAAATTTCGACCAAAAGATGGTTAGTTCATAGATTTAGGCATATATTATAGAGCAAATCCATGTACAATTTATACTGAATCCTAGATAATAGTCATACTGCAAATTCTCGTAAAAAAAAAAAATTCTAATGTAAATTCAAGAAAAGCATGTATGCATCATCTATGGACAATAAACAAATGACAGAATTTGCATACCCAGCCAAATGCAAATGGAAAGTTATTTCCAGTTCCGAGAGGAACCATAGCAATAGGTGGTGGCTGAGACAACTTTAGATCAGAAACGACCCCAGGAAGCCAACCAGCTGTACCATCTCCACCGGCAACCTATAAATAACATCCATGTCAAATGTGATATGAGAGAGAGAATAGTCGTAAGGTTATTCATATGCTATACTATTCTATATCGCACTGAAAAATAAAAAGGAAAGGTGAATCCATATTCCTTTAAACTCAACTTACAATTATTTTTAAGTTCTCCTCGAGTTTAGTAGCAAATTTATCCCCACTAAACTTGAGCCTTTCCAGATTGAGATAAAGCTTACATAAACCATTATCTGGAGCCTCTTCTCCTAAATCAAACACATGAAAATCAGTAAGATCAGTGCACAAGAAATAATAATTAATTGTTGACGATCAATAGCTTTCTACAGTAACATTCTTATCAGAACCAGAAGATATAATGAACTATGAATCCATATAATTAAGCAAAATAAAGCAAAATGAATGGTGACTTCACCTGGTTTTTGTTCAGTATTGAACAATAAGTGATGAGAAGATCTCCACCTAATTGACCACCACTTTTAGAATTGATGAATACCAGAACAGGGCATTCGGGTGTAATAGGTGGACACTTGGGCGTGGAGTACAACAAAAATATATAATCAGGGATGTAAAACTGCTTCACAAACTTATCAGAATCAAGACCTGAAATTGTCATTACTAACTCCAAGTCTAACTCAGATAATAGCAGATTAGCAACAAATCATAAAAAATTAGTAAAGATGATCCAACAAAAAATCGTTGTCACATAACGTTAGGATGATCCAAGTTGCACATGTAAATTTAGAAGCAAGAATGAAAATTTCAATGGAACATTTTTATACAACATGAGTCATACTCTTTTTCTATGCAATTTTCAAAGGCATGTGAAAAAGAAATCAAAGATATTGATCATCAACTATACTATTTACCAAATAATCATTCAACAGCTTCGCTTAACTAATACAATTATGCAACTTCCCATCCATTTAGTTTCTATTTGGGCTCTATTTTATTCAAAATGTATTTTTCTCTCCCTTCTTTTTAATTACGCATTCTCCAATAAAATAATATTACATTGACTTATAAGCATTCCAACAAACATGATTACATCACATTGGTCGAACTCAATTATCCCAAACCCCAGACGGAAAAAATATAAATATATGAAACCTTACGATATTCAGATTCCGTAATGATCAAAGCCCACAATTTGCATCCACTAAACGCAGTGATAAATTGAAAAATAAATACAGAATAGAGGAAAGAAAACACATGAATATATATATATACAAAATCCACAAAACAAAGAGAATTCGAACATGGGAAAGCTAACAGAAGAATCCCTGAAAGAATTGCAAGTGATTCTGTAGTATAATTTGGATCTGGAAATGGTGGTAGATTGCATATGCAGATTGAATGAGCAAAAGGCGTGATCCATTTTCAATGAAGAACGTGCATGAAATAAAAAGGGTGACTACAAAAAATAGAGGAGAAATAGAACAAGAGCTCAGATTTGGTAGAGAGAAAGTCTGTGTAAGAGAGACTATTAAGGTTATCTGAGGATCAGTTATTCACGTATCTTTATTGGCATATGTAATATCAATTAATTAAAATAATTCTTGGGAAGATTGAGGAATTTGGTTTCAATCATATTCTTATTTCTTTTTCTTTATTAGCAATAATTTATAGTCTTCTTCTATATCTATACAAGATCATCTATCTTTCTACAGATTGGATTGGATTAGACCATACAAATATCAAGTGTACCTTTAAAAATATTACCATCTCTCAATAAAATGTATACATAAAAATAAAATCGATCCAAGTAAAAAACAAACGTGGTAATCACTCATTACCATTATATTGAAAACATGTGATGTGATCCATAAAGAAACAAAAAAATGGCCAAACCCAATCCTTGTATCATTTCAAAAGTCTGCATTTAATATCACGTTATGCGTTCTGATGTGGTCATAAATGTCCTACCCCAAGCACGAGGACTTCAAAGGATCCTCTTTCTTAATTACAATGCTTTACTCCTCAGGGTATATGACTTCCTCGAGACATCTCGAGGATGGACCACCCATGTTATCCTTGAAATCACGTTAGCACTCCTCGAGACAATAATGGTCGGGATATTTACTTGGTCAAATCCTCGAAGAAGTCCTCAATCAAGATACAGTAGTCCTTGTGCAGAAAGGATCCTAGCTCTACCCCATCACCCCTGCTTAGGAATCCCAGGTCGTAAAGAAGTCCTACCTTCGGTAACACTTTAGATAAGGAAGGTTTGGACTCCTATCTACATTCCAACACTTATCCCTATAATCACTCCTAAAAATAAGAAGATGAGTCCTACTTGAACTACGCTACCCACCTCTATAAATACATCTTTTTCATTCATCATTAAGGTACGTTTTTACACATACATTCAGCATATATTCTCTCTAAAAATTCTTTGTCTGATTTAAGCATCGGAGGGGCACGGGGACACATCTCGATGCCTTTGTTTCAGGTATCGGAAGATCTTGTTCGTGCTCGGTCTCAATCGTCAAGCTCGAAATTCAGCATGTGCGATTTTTGGTAGTATCATTGGTGCCGTATGTGGGAATCGTTACCAAAAGTCATGGTGAACACACGTTCAAGTCATCTTCCAGCAAACTCATCCGTTCCGGACCAACCCCCCACACCAGAGCGCCCAATACCTGATTGAGAGGAATATACCCCAGGAGCTGGCACCGGAACGAACACCGGTCCAACATGAAGAATTCATGCATGATGCTTGAGCTCCGGGCACTCGTAACGCCCAAGACAATGGTGGATCTGGGGCCTCGGGCACTCCCAGTAGCTTTGGCCTCAAGATTGGTTACCATGGACTCAGGAGAACTAGCCCGAATCATACAGGATGCGATCACGGCAGGGCTACAAAAGAATACCAAGGGCATGACGAGTTTCATCCCTAGCACTCCTTATACNACCCCTCCTGGACAAGTTCAAGTTCCCCCGCGTGAAGGAATATGATGGGACCACTGACCCCATCAACTACCTAAATGTGTATACGGATGTCATGAACTTATAGGTTGCACCAGATCCAGTAATGTACAAGGCCTTCCCTCAGACACTAACGAACACTGCTAGGGATTGGTTCGCCACATTGGAGCCTAATTCATAGCATCATTCTCTGACCTCGCCAATACGTTTTCCACTTTCTTCGCAAGTAGTAAACGCATCAAGAAGACCACGGCAACCCTCATACAGCTCCGCCAAGGCCCGAATGAGACTCTACGTAACTTCATGACGAGGTTCAATAAGGAAAAGCTGCAAACACCTGACCTCCACATCACGGCGGCTGTTTCGACTCTTACATATGCAGTGAAGTGTGAGACCTTCAAGATATCTTTGTCTAAGACACCCCCAAAGATTGTGACTGAGCTTCTCACCCGAAGAGAAATACATCATTATGGAAGAGGCAATGAAGGCTACCCCTAGCTCAAAGAAGCCCCAACTGAAGAGGTCACATGAATCGAATTTGAGACAGGATCATGGTCGAGGGAAGCCAAGACAGGATGGACCACCCGAGCCCTTTACCCGCTTGAACACATCTAAGACCAACATACTAATGGAGATTGGGAACATGAAAGAGCTTACATGGCCCCCGAGTTTTCGATCTCCACCCGACCACAGGGATAGAAGTAAATACCGTGACTTCCATAAGGACCATGGGCACACGATGGATGAATCTGTGATGATGCAATGGCAGATTGTGGCACTGATTAGAAGGGGATTCCTGAAGGCATATGTCGGGAATGACAAACGCCCAATGAATAATAAAAATGGAGGAAAGACATCTGGAGCAAGGAAGATAACAAACCGACGGCAGGCATGATCAAGATTATTGTTGGGGGAATAGCATCGGGAGGAGATTCGAACAATGGGCGAAAGCAGTATGCTTGACAGTACGGTTCAGTCCTGGATACCACCCCTCACAACACAGAAGACATTACCTTCGGATCGAAGGACTCAGATGGCATAACATATCCTCATGATGATGCCATGGTCATATCCGCTATAATAGCCAACTTTGAAGTCAAAAGGATATTGGTGGATAACAGAAGTTTGGTCATATCCGCTATAATAGCCAACTTTGAGGTTAGAAGGATATTGGTGGATAACGGAAGTGCAGCCAATGTGTTGTCTTGTGACGCCTATGTAAAGGTGGAAATTTCTACCAACCAACATGGTCAAGACCCCCCTCCAGGGTTTTAGGGATGGAACAATTATCCCAGAAGGCATTGTAGATCTTCCCCTAACCTTGGGCTTGGCTCAGAAACAGGTGACAAAGATTATGCTTTTTCATGTTGTCCAGATGCCCGTGCCTACAACGCCATACTTGGAAGACCACTACTGAACAAGATCAGGGCAATAGTATCCACCTTTCATCTCGCTATGAAATTCCCAACAAGCCATGGTATAGGAGTTGTGCGAGGGGATCAGTAAGCAGCAAGAAAGTTTTATGTTATGAGCATCCAAGGATTGAGCACTGACGTCATGCAATTATCCGTCGGTGAGCTCGAGCTCAAGCATCACTACAGACTTGCCCCTGTCGAAGATTTGATAGAGGTCTGGTTCGAGCATGGTAAGAAGGTAACCATCGGTCGGGAGCTCAATTCCATTTTGAAGGAAGAACTCGTCAAGTGCCTATCCCTTAACATTGATGTATTTGCATGGAAGGTTGAAGACATGCTCGGGATAGACGCTGACGTCATTGTCCATCAATTAAATGTGAGGCTTGATGCTAGGCCCATAAAGCAAAAAAAGAGGCAATTTGCACCCGAAAGGCGAGAGGTGATACGCGCAGAGATCAATAAGCTCATCAATGCCCAGTTCATTAGAGAAGTTCAGTACTCGGATTGGCTTGCTAACGTTGTTCTTGTGAAGAAAGCTAACAGAAAGTGGAGGGTGTGCATTGATTTCACAGACCTCAACAAAGTATGCCCAAAAGACAGTTATTCTCTACCTCGGATCGATAATTTGGTGCACAGCACCTCAGGTCATAAGTTATATAGCTTTCTTGATTCTTGTTCAGGCTATCACCAAATTCTTATGGCTAAAGAAGATCAAGAGAAGAAGTCATTCATAGCCGACTTCGACATCTACTGCTACAAGGTCATGCCATTCGATTTAAAAAATGCAGGGTGACATATCAGAGGCACATCAACAAAATCTTTGCTGATATGATGGGAAAAAATATCGAAGCCTACGTCGATGACATGGTGGTAAAGAGTAAGCAGGTGAAGGAGTATATAGCCAATCTTGAGGAGGTATTTTCAACAATGCGAAAGAATCAACACAGAAGTTGAACCTAGCGAAGTGTGCTTTCGGGTGGCATCAGGAAAGTTCTTGGGTTTCATGACCACTCACATGGGGATCGAAGCAAACCCAGATAGAATACGAGCTCTAATAAACATGGAATCACCAAGGAACGAGAAAGAGGTTCAGAAGTTGACAGGTAGGGTTGCTGCTTTAAATAGATTCATGTTTAGAGCAGTTGACAGGTGTTTTCCCTTCTTCAAAGTCCTACGAGGCAATCAAAACTTCAATTGGAATGCGGATTGTGAAAGAGCTCTCCAGGAACTCAAACAGACGTTGACTACTCCTCTAGTGCTCACAAAACCCGAG